GTCCTTTCAGCAGTAGAGCAGAAAAGCCCACATTCATATAGAAGGATTTATAATTCCAAAATAGATGGTTTAGAAATGGGGGCTTATTTAGACTATTTGTCAATTTGATCTCGTCATAGATTGTTTCCGCGGTGTCCATCAAACATATTTACAAGAAAAAGACCCAGAAGAATCTAATCACCAGAACAAAAGCACTGGCTGGCAATGCGAACGCTTCCCAAATTTCCTCCAATTTCAAACGACCACTAACAACAGCATGTATCACACTGCTTGCTATGGCGGTCGCGCATTAGGCCGAACAGGTAGACATCAAAACAAACCAATTTCCAAATTACTACTAATTCTATCTCTGTCCGTAGGGACTGCGTGTAAGGTCCAGGAACGTTAACAATTGCTATCCTACACCCTATCTAGTAACTAATAATTTTGTTGTCACATGCTCAATTATTCCCAACCCATCGCGACTGTCATTGACTGTAGATAGCTTTATCCGCAGGCTAGTGCAACGGCTGGCACACGACCCATAGTCGATAAAACACATTAGCGATTTTGACTGCGCCTCAATTGGCATATTCAGGCAGTGTTTGGGTAAGCGTTTGCGTGCTGTAGACAGGTAATGATTAATTTAGAGGCAGTGAATGATTCGAGTGTCCACTCTGCTTTTCCTGTGAACACGAACTATCCGGCACAAAAACTATCAACTCGATATCCCGAATGAGAGCTGTTTCTACAAGTACCCCGTCAGATCTCGTCAGGGAAGCTCAGGATAACTGAACGAACCGATCGCACTGATGTCTTCTGAACGAAAACACATTCACTTCTTCAATCTATCCAAGGCATCAAATACAGACTGCTCCGGCTGGGCACAGATTGTTGATACCTTGATATCGTGAATGAATCCATACATGCAAGTATGCAAACATACATGTACATGATCGAAATGATTTGCAGCAATTCGAAAGAGCGCTCCATTCGCATTATTATTATTTTGCGTATGTGCAGAATCTTGTACAAACTAGGGATTAAAAGTGTTCTTCCAGTTACTACGGGTTTCACACATCATTCAGCACTGTAGTTAATGAGGTCAAAAGTACGTAACCAACTGTTATTGAATGCAGATCTAGTCCACATGATAATCGCTATTGTGTCAAATACACAAGAGACATTGGAAGCGGTGTCGCAACTCTGAGTTTCTTATTACTACGACCATCAGCCGAAGGGCAAAACGGGCAGTATAAACATAATGGGGACCAAGGTGAGAAATTCTAAAGGGATATCGAACGCAGGAGTCAGTTGCAGGCGAGTTTCAAATACCAAGCAAGCTCCGTTTTCCCTTCTACGTAACAGGACCAGCACAATTGTATAAAATACGTACAGAGTGAGTCAGCGCGCGACGCAGTGGTTCAGCTCAAGCCACGAGAATCTTTCGCAGAGTCGGTGGAAATAGCAGAATTAACCGCTTGCTTATATTCAGTTCAACACTCGTAACACATATTTCCAGTGACCGGGGCTTTACTGCAATTAATTCAGCGGCATCCTCCTCTAAGCAAGCGGGAGGAACGTGTTTACTGTTCATATGGAGCGTGCATATTTGATACGTTCTCAAGCATTATTCTTGCCTTTCTTCGGAAGCCAAGGCCGCTTTAACATGTGTTAAACAAGAAAAAAACGGAAGCCAATTTCAATACACAGTGTGCGACAGCTGCTGAACACTTGTCATCTGATGATTCACATGCTGGGGAACCTTGGTACTAGTATTCTAGCTGACCTGGATGGATCGGCTTTCCAAGGTGTTATTTTATTGTCCCTCATATCACCATAGGAGTATTGATTTCAGCACAACATAGTACTTAGCCTACTCAAACTCACAAAATGAGGGTTAAATCCTCCGAAAGCACATGCAAAGACCTGGAAATGCCCAATCTTATAAGTTTGACGATTCAAAATTGATATGGCCTTTTAACTGCCTTGAAAAGGACTGTTTCTGGCCATAAAGTAAATACGACAGACCGCATAATTCCCGTGGAGCTGGTTAGATATACATGTACTTGAAGTACCTGAAACGTATGTAGACCGTTCCTTAGGTCAATGTAGATGTACGGTGGCGATAATGTGAAATGTTAATAATATATTTGCCCTGTTTAGACCCTAATGCATTTCTGTTTCATTATTGATTGAAGGTAAGTCTCAGAAATTTGATAGATTGACGACAGGCAACACACTCCAACTTGTATTTTTCCCATCAAAAGAATTTCGCAAATAGCCAAAATCAAGAGATTGAATGAGAAAATCTCACACGTCGTTATTGAACCAAAATATGATGTGTCCATGCTCCGGAATATCTCGGTGGCACGGCCACAGATTATAGTACACTATACAAGCATAGAATAATATTAGTCTGGTTCTGTTACTCTTCTAGGCACTGGGGTATGCCACTTACTTCCGCAATTACAATATCCACATGTGTCCCAATGGAGCTACACTTCCTGAAATGCATTACTGTCGGTCGAAGAGACACGCGAGTTGACTAAGTTAGAATCACCTGACGCATGCAAGCCACGACATGATCGTAACGAAACAGCTCGCCTGTCTCTTAGGTGTTACTCCTACACTGTACTGCAGGTGGTTTGGTGAATCTGAAAAGTAGTAATGCAGTGGCAGCTACACTAGAGATAATAAACAACAGTAAGGAGCTGCCCAGGGCTACAGGTAGTTTGCAGGAGACTCTAAGGCGGGCACGGCCGCGGGAGTACCTCATTAGCAACGTGCATGACAAATGACCCACAGATAGGGTGCTTTGAGTTGAAGCGGGCAGTCAGAGGCCGCCTTGTAGAAGTCTGGCTGACCATAAGTTATCTGGGATCACAAGCCAAGGGCTGAATGTATTTGTAAATCGCGGTTGGATTTCACAATGGATAGGACGGAAGCGGACCATGTCATTGTACTCACTTAATTAAACTACACGTGCCGTGGTATTATTCATATTGAGGATCTGAACGCCGTTCATTTCCCACTACTACCATAATCACATCAACATTTTCGCAAACAAGTGGATTCAAGAAACCGCCAATCCTATGCCTGACACAAAGAAGATGGCAGAGTACAATCGTGTCATGAACTCTCTTCTAGCGAATGCTACTGTTCAGTAACCCTGTCAGCGGATAATACAACTCCCCGGGAATAGTTAGGACTATGATTATTCAGACGGTAAGCCAAGTAAAAACCTGTATAATGGAAAATTAATTTTTGGGCACAGGTTATGCTATCGAGCCAACTAAACCAGATTTTGAGCCGCACAATCTAGCTCAAAACTGACGGGGAGTACTGAGACATTCGACAATCGTTCAGACAAAATACTTTGTTCAATGTCTTCCCTGCTAGCAAGGAATCGAGAACTGGAGAAGCTAAGAGCGTGAGCAGTGACGAGTTGGACACAAGAAAGTCTTGGATTGCCGCCATTCGTCGAGATGAGCGGAATGGCTGCGGGTACCATCCTGTCATACAATATAGTGGTGTGTTCTAACCATTTCACTGATGAATACTATAGTCGCTATCGACGATATCCCAGTGGAGTTCAGCCTGGAGATTAAGCTCGGTTTGAAGACTCTGACATTCAGTACTATACTGGTTTTCCTTTGCTTGCTGCGTTTGATGCATGTATTCAATTTCTTAACCTTGATTATAGGAGCGTCTTTCCTTTCGCAGTAAACCAGTGGATGCCGATTCCAGGAAAAGGAAACCCGGTGATGAACGGAAGATTAAGTTAATTGGCTTGGAGAGCTTTTTCATTACCATGGTAAGTCTTCGCCACGACACACATACCAATCTCGCCGCGTCCTTCCCAAGTGGTAGAACGATTGCTGGATGTTTACAAAAATGCATCCTACAACATTCATGATCATAGATGCTACAGGGCTGAAATGTAATATCGTTTCCAGTCTGTCTGCGCAGTCGCAACTCTACAGCTCATATAAGACGCATAACGTTACTACATGTACCTTGACGAGCCTCATCCGTATGACCCCAAATGGTGGTGCGGCGCTTACCTCCAAGTCATTTACGGGTTCCACCAGTGACCACGAGCTCACAATCAGAAGCCACTACTTAAATCTTCTGCCAGTAGCCGGCTATGGGACTTTGATTATGGCAGACCAAGGATTTGACATCCGGGATCTCTTGATGCCACATGGCGTAAAGTTGAACATTCCCCCATTCAAGCGATCAAGCAACAGATGGCCTTAGAAGATGTCCAGAAAACGCAACAAATTGCCACGTAACGAATTGATGTTGAGTGTCTGATGGAGCGAATCAGGGAGTTCTCTATCTTTTCAAAGATCGTTCCAACAATTCTTTTCCCTATCATCATTCAGATATGGGTTGTTCGCAGCCTGCTCACAGTATTCTAGGCTCCTTTACTTGCTGAAGCAAATATGTTTTCCATGCCAACTGTTGCTAGCATTGCATGGCGAATTGATCTTCAGCAACACGAATTTTGTCATGCCCGAACAATCATGCACAATACGGAGCAGCTAATGACTTAGTGGGTATAAATGTGGATAGTATGATAATTATAATTTAGGTTGCAATATTTGCAAAAGTGCAATGAATAATAATACCCCTCTTGATGAATATTGGTGCTGGCGCATTGCGGTTTATCAATTTCCATGGTCACAACAGATTTACTAGGGCGAATATAAAGTAATCTTTGCAACCATACAATAGGTCCTTTGGTAGAGCAGAGCTGGACCCAGTTTCAGGAAAACTAGGACGAAATGTAGCTGCTAGAGGGCCGACTATGCTCATTGCGTCGCTATGGGCTTCCACGACCTCAGCGTCAACAATGCTCTGAATGGCAGCGGTTTTCCGATTTCCTTGCCGATGCCTGCCGCCAAATATATCTGGAGTGCACAGTATTGGATCGATGTGATAGAACCAGGCCCTGAACAGATGGAGAAAGTTAGAATGTAAAACATGTATCGATAAATGTACTTTTTCTTGTGCGAAATGTTGAAGACTGCATCCTGAAGTGGTACTTACCGATCGAGCAAATCACCCCGTTTCCTGGACACTCCGGCTCCTCTAGCTCGCAGGTAAGTCTTCAACTGGTTGATTGTCCATTTTCAAAGGACTCGTTGTCCAAAGGCATCAAAAAGTTACACAAACACCGAGCTTTGGGATCGCTAATTCAACTAGATTCTCCCTCGCAGGACTACTATCAACATTCCCTTCATCGCAACGCACCGCCACAAGAGATGAAGTGCTCGGCTCATTGACCGCTTCATCAGCCATGCATCAAACATATCACAAAGGTCCAGCAAGAAGTATATGCAAAAAAAACCTTTCTACATATCGGTCAGCAAAGAAGAAGCGAGAAGAAAACAGAATCCTTCACTTCGCTGTCAGTTTTTTTCCGATCCAGGAGAGTCTAGTTTTTTCTGGCCGCCTGGGTGAGTACACGCCAAACGCGGTGATTGTTCGTTGCGATTCCAGAACAAGAGCTCGCGCTGGGAGGAATGCACTGCATGTATGGCGTGCCTGGGTCACGCATTCAGTACACATGCCATGCCCCGCCAAGTCACTGTGTGTCTTATTTGGCAAAAGACCTATTCGTCCTCGTGAAGCTTCCCCTTCATATTTTAACCTCTGATGATATTGAGCCTCCCAAGTTGGGTGGTTGTTGCTTTGCGTTTTTGAATAATTTTATTGTGATGTGACCGTTCTGTCTTTTCCTGCGAGCCCATTATCGTACCAAGCAAGCATTCCATGACGCCTCGGATTATGTAGCTTGTGTTCAGCTCGATGGGGCTTACCTCCACCAACTTTGGAATTAGCACTAATGTGCATAAACCTGCCAAGTCGGAAGGCCGTAGGTTGACTCTATCAAGCAGTGCACAAGCTGACTTTAATTCGTGGAATTCCGCAGTTTTCCTATTCAATTTCGTGCTAGATTGTGCACGTCTGACTCGATTGCCTAACAGTTGTGCTCACCGTTTTCCTTGTTACAACTTTAATTATTGTAGGACGTATCACATCAGATACTGCCCTGTTTTAGCAGTGCCCCGATCATTGTTTGTTGACGAAGTACCGGTATACATGTATATTTCTGTAACATGTGTACTTACATTTTTTATGACAAGACAACGTCAAAATGTTGTTGTCACCTATCGTATGGACTGCGAATTCAGCCGTAAGTCCAAAACAAGATACATGTACTAGTAATGACCTTGTTTCGAGGAGGACGATTTTCCCTATTCTTATATGTTGCGAGATCGGGGCTTGGTTGGTCTTTCGGTGAATCTTCTTGTTGGATATGGGGTAAGGGTGGACAATATTCATAACAGCGACCTTTCGCACCACGCGGACGGATACGAAACGAATTCTGATTCGTCACCTGGGTTCGAGGATTCGTCAGAGTCGCCGAGGAGAGCTCGTTTTCACGAATGAAAGCCTCTTCATTCGTGGCACGCTCCGAATCCGTCAGGTACACATTTTTTGGCAAGGTACACATGTTTTGCCAGGTATACCTTTTTTCCCTTGATTCGATGATCCAGGCACGTGCGCGAGAACACACCCGTAGTACCGTACGCCAAGGTACCGGCCGTATTCGTAGTTGCCATGCAGATTTGCATTACGACTTGCGAAACCTGAATTCTGTTTTCACCGAAACGATTACAAGCCGAATCAAACTTTCGTTTCGCATTCGATTCGTAGCAAATGCGAAAGGTCCTTAATATAATTATCGGAGCTTGTGACGATACCATGCATCCAGTCGATACTTCAGCTTCTTCGTTAGTGTCCACAGGCCACAGTTGTACAAGAGTACAGGCAAAATCAGAACTTTCAACAAACAAAAACGAGACATGTAAAGAGCGGCGCCTCCTGTGGCTGGGGAACGTTGCCCGGGAAGGACCAGGCGCGGCCTCTTACAAGGCACTGCAGCTAGCCGTCAATACGTCGGACATCAGGCGCCGCCATGCACGACCCCACTAGAGATGGGTCGCCAACATCAGAGAAGACCTTGAACCTCTGAAGGTGCCGATTCAGGAATGCCTCAACCTCGCAACCAACAAGCAACTCTGGTTAACGATCATTGACAGATGCATGACCCCCGTATGATTTTTTTCTGCGGGCAATATGTGACCTGTTCATATTATTATTATTATATTATGTTGTTTTGTTCCAGATGTATACGAACGGTGCCAATGCCATGGGTGCAAGTTCATTCAAAGAGTCATAAATCAGTCAAATCTCAACTGAATTTAACAATTGAACTACGTACGAGGTACCAGACTACGACTGGGGTCGATACGAGCTAGTATAATGGAGCTGCTAGCACTCGATCAGTTTGCTTCATTTCTCAGGATCTAAGACTAGACACTGTGTCAGAGCAGTCAGTCAAATGTGACATTGCTCTTTGCCATGATACATAATATTGTGTACATGACATTGTGTAGGTGCTCTTGTCTATCAATAACACAACCATTGGTGAACCAAAATAATGTATCCCAAAAAAATTCATTCCAACTGACCGAGTTTCCTTTTTGAGTGGCTACCGACCGGAAACAAGTCTATTATTTTGACATCACGAATATTGCGGTTCCCTCATCAGGTATAGAATAGTCTATGCTCCAGTGGTTCTTGTTATTCTTATTCGCACACGTCATTCCATACAGCACTTCTGTCGTCATACACATACTTCGTTTTATGAGAAAAACCACGAGACTGCCCTACGAAGTTGTCTTTGACCAGTACTGTTTAGCTAGACTCGCTTACAGTGAGTGCACTGAAGTTTCAGTCCATTTCTAGAACCATTTTTGATTGTGGTGCATTTTTAGTGGTTAAGCTAATGGAATTGAAAGGGAAAGTGTTTCATAGAATGAACTGCTTCATTGTTTCAGACATCATTGGAAATATCATTAACTGACGTCCGGCACGTTACAGAACTCTGAGTTGTGGTTCATTTGTGTGCTGGCACCGTCATTATTGAAATATTATACTCAAGGCAGCGTGTACATGTAGTTGAAGATGGATATAATGATTGTCCGGTATGGATCACGTGATGGTCCGGTATGGATCACTTGATTGTCATGTAGGGATACCTGGGTTGTCCTGCAAAAGGAATTTTATTCATAAAGAGATGAATGGAAGTATCTTTTAGATATCTACTTCGTAAAACCGAAGGAAGGTTCACAAATTCGTTTGCGCGCCCACCCCTTCCCTTCCAGAGTCATACTTCTTCCCTTCATTGATGTTCTCCCCATATTCTCATACATATATAGGGCTGTGTTCCCAGTAAAATAAAACCAATCAGTCCTCTCTTTATAAGGACCGTTATCTCAACATTCCCAGCCCTTTGGTACTCTCTGCTTTCCTTTTGTCCTTCTGGCCAGACTGCAAGTATCACTATTGGCAACAGACAATTTTTCGTTCATGCTATGGTTATGGCTTTGTTGCAGTGCATTATTTAGTGTACGAATAACTATATAGTGTACACCCTCTGGAAGACCGCGGCATCCCCATATTGCAACGGAATAGCGAGACACTGAACTTTAATAATCATTGGTGCAATTGAAGATAATTATTACGTGAGTTTGCAGTGGAGCAAGCAGAGAGTAGAGTAAGTGTCTCCAGCTATGAGCGATAAGAAAAGGCGTAGAAAGTGTACATGTTGCAAGCAGGCTAGGCAATAAACAATTATTACAAGCATTGACAATGTGTAAAGGATAGCGTGGTAGCGTGATATCAGAAAATTATTTCGCCTGAGGTATCATAGAGGCTAAATACAGTCATACTCAAGAGGAGGTGTGGTTGCATTTTGTCTTACTGCTCTTGAAAAGTACTAAAAAAGGCCTGCAAAAAAAGAACAGCAAATAGTCTGTTTTCACTAAACCTCCCGTAAGTAACACATTGATTGTATTCGACAATTTATAATGTCCAGTTGGCGACTTTCAAGATCAGTCTGGTTGGTATCAGTCTTCGAGCACAACATGCTCGGCAATTGGTCAAATATGCTATTCTGCCACCTACTTCCAACGCACAGCTTCGCAAGAAAGGCACAAAGCTGCTCGTTTTGTGCCATCTTTTCCAAACCTGTCGGCGTCTTCTGGCAAGTGCTGCGATCCGAACGTGTCCATTCTATGCTGCCCTTCTTAGTGAAGATCTGAAAGAAAATCGTACAGTCCATGTGTAACGGCTCGGAGGTTTAGTGCAACAGATGCCCATGCTGCAATGGGGCTACAAATTCTAACAATAAAGCTAAATATATTGAAATAGTAAGTAAGGAATCGACAAACAGCGCCTTGTTTTCTCAAATATCCGAAGTTTTGCAAATTCCAACGGGCGATAGGCTGGATGCAAAGAATATGCAAAATGGTGGTAAGTGCTCCAGATGCAGAAAACGTAGAAGAGAAGAGGAAGAAATATAGAAAGCATGTATGGCTAAATCTGGCCCATTGTTTCGTACTGGGGCTCTTGGTTTGTTTCCACTGGAGTTGAGGTCATCTCGTAAGCATCATTTTCTGTCAATTTGTTCGTAAAAACCGTTGGTGGCTCGCTGCTGCTAGTCTCTCTTGCCGTGGGGACCTTAGCCGGGCCTCTGTGTCGCGCTTGATAAACTATCATAAAAGCGCCAGGAATAATCAAGCCGACAAGAAACCCAATAGCTCCTGCAACAATGGTGAACGTTGTGGAAGATGCTGTTGTTTGTTGCTCTGCAGAGTAAAATCAAGCCAGCACATTAACATGAAACATAACATAACACATTTATATCATTGAAGACAACGCCTTTCTGGAGGGGTTTTATCTACCAAATATGGCATTCTTAATTTCCCCACCTCTGTGGTTGCACCACACAAAACGGAAGGAGATTAACTCAAGCAGCCACTGGCGTTCAGCATCAAGCTTTTTAGGCCCATGACGACTTGTTGATAGCTTAAGTTCCCAGAAACAACGGCAAATCGACGCACCCAACTGAATAAAAAAATTCATTATTCTATTATTCATTCTTCCACTAGAGCTGAAGTTTCAGTGAATACACTTTGGAACACCCATAACAATTTTCAAAAACCAGCTTCGTGTTAGGTGTAATTTGTGTCAAAATTGTAGTATTTAGACATGACAATATCACTGGCTGTACTTCTCTAATATGGTACATAACCCCTGCTATAAATGTGTTATTTAGGCAGATTGGTGTATTGTGCAAGTCATAAAGAAGAAATGGGGAAGATAGCCAACTTACAATTTTCAAAACCCAGCTTCGTGTTATGTGCAATTTGAGTCGATTTCTAGTATTCGGATTAACCGAGGATACGACTCTGAACAGTTCTGAAAAGTTACCGAAACACTACATGGCAGGAGCTAAAAAAATGGTGGTAGTCTTTCAAAGAATACTGGCTAGTGATGGGCTGTAAACGAAATTTGCTGCTTCAAAAATTTCAAAAACTAGACACCCATGGGCACGCTTGGAGGTGAAGTGCAGAAGGCGAGTCGATCCGAGTATGACCTTTCGGACTGTACTGGATTGAACTATTCCAAAAATAACAACGAGGGGTTACGGGTGCGAGTCAACCCTTGTGACACGAATTTGTTGTTGTTGTTGTTGTGTTTATTTTAATTCGCAAACCAAACGGGCAAATTTGCCCAATGAAAAGGTGGCGAATGTAGATAGAAAGCAGTAATAAATGAAATTGGGGACTGATGTAATTAGGATAGAGGTGGAGAAAAACTAAGCCTACTGGTCATCAAACAGGACGTTTGGTACTCTAGGTACTAAGGGTGTGCGGGATCATGCTGGCGCGGAACTGGCGGAGCGTGGAGATGGCACGTATGTCGCTGGGTAAGGTGTTCCACAGCTGGGCGCCCCGGAACGCGAGGCAACCCTTGCCGAACCTGGTGGAAACTGGCGGTTGGCGCAGACCCATGGTGGAGTGCAACCTAGTTGGGCCAGCTGACGAAGGAACTAGGAGGGCTTGCAGATCAGAACTTTCGTGCCCATTCCGAGACCTCCACACCAGAACGATGAACTTCGGCCTGAATATCTCGGATACTCTGTAGGTGTCCAATTGCAGCAGGAGGGTACGCGCGGAGGTGTGATGCGAGAGTCCGAAAACCGCCCTTGCCGCCCGATTCTGCATGACTTGTAGCCGATCCAATTGGTTGGCAGTAAGAAGCGGGGAAAACGCATTGGATCCGTACATCAGGTCAGACATGATGATCGCTTTAAAGTTGAGAAATCGGCTCTGATGAGTCAAGCAGCGACGCAACCTCCATAGTGCTCCGATCCTCTGGGCCAGTCGAGCGGTGCAGCGATCAATATGGGGTGTCCATGACAGATCCGAGTCGAGGAGCACTCCAAGATACCTGGCCGCAGTAACGACAGGAATCGGCTTTTCGTGACAGTTTACATTGATTGCATGCTGGGGCTGCTGAGGCTGCCTGTTTGGGTATACAGGGATCACGTGGCTCTTGGCTGCATTCAAAATGAGACCACGGGTCTGCAACCAGTCAGCACGTGCAGAAACCGAGGCCCATAGCGTAGCAGATACCATGTCCAGGAATGTGCTGCTGCTGATCAGCGCGATGTCATCGACAAATTGAACTGATGTAGACTGGTTAGCTATGGTTGGAACTTCGCGGGTGTAGATACTGAAAAGGATCGGTCCTAGAACAGAACCTTGTGGCACGCCACAGGATGGTGCAGAAATGGCACTCTGATCCCGTCCAATACAGATACGCTGAGTACGGCCCGACAGATAGGCGGACAACCACTTTAGGGCTGTCCCTGTTATGCCGATATCGAATAGGTCCTGGAGTAGCCGTTCATGACGAACCTTGTCGAATGCCTTTGACATATCTAGAAGGCATATGCCAGTACACAAACGCTTGTCCCGTGCAGTAAGAATACGATTTAGCATAAGTACCAGGGCATCCTCTGTTGAGTGGCCTGCGCGGAATGCAAACTGAGTCGTGGGGAGGGTACCAGATATGTCCAGAAACTGGGCTAGCTTCTTTTGTACGACATTCTCCAAGAGTTTTGATAATATGGAAAGTAGGGACACTGGACGGAAGTTAGTGGGAATAGACGGGTTCCCAGCTTTGAACAGCGGGATAACGTGTGCGAGTTTGAAGGCTGTGGGGACAGTGCCATTGACAAGCGAGGCATTAAACAGTGTGGCCACAGACACAGCTAGAATATCGGCACAGCACTTCAGCAGGTGACCAGGTATCCCGTCGCTTCCTGTTGCTTAGGCAGGATTGATTTGTCGGAGAAGCCGTTCTACTTCGCCAAAAGACACTTGCGGCAATTCTGACATTGCAGTCTGAGGCTGTGGACCTTGCGGTAGCGGGATGCTGTGAAGACGGGCATTGTCTGTTACTACTGCCTGGAAGACTGACGAAACTTCTTCAATGGGGCAAGTAGGCTCCACACGTACTCTCTTCCTGTTCGTAACGGAGTTTATGACGTTCCAGAGCTTACGCGGGTTCTGACTGGACGCGGCACATTGCGCTCGGAAGAAATCGTTGCGCTTTCGGCGACAGGCATTTCTGGTGCTTGAGCGTGCTTGCTTGATCTGTACGTGAAGATTCTGGTTTCCCTTATCGCGTAGCCACCGTCGGTGTAGCAGGTTTTTACGTTGGTTGAGCTTGTGGAGCTCTCTGTCGGACCAGGGCGGATGAGATTTGCGGTTGGAGGATACATAGCGGATGGGTGCATGCTTGTCCACGACAGCCAAGAACTTGGTGTGCCACGATGCCCACATGGTGTCCACATCCCGCGTGTTAGTAAAATCATCCAGCCCTGCGGAGCTGACATCCCGATGGAATTCGCAGAGGTTCACCGACCGAGTATTTCTCTGAGCTCGGACCCGCTCTACTGCATGAGGTGACACGCTGCGAGAACCCTGAAGGTGCAGGTTAGCCTCAATCCCAAAGTGGTCGCTAATGGTCAAAGGCAGGACGTGGCACTCACTGATGTCTTGACTAGCTGAAAAAATGAGATCGATAGTTGTACCAGATGGGCACGCCGGTGAGATACGAGTCGGAGCATGAACGTGATTAGTGAGGCCGTAGCAGTTGCAAAGTTCGAGAAATTTCCGGGCGATAGGACAAGATGGGTAGGGGGTTGAAACATTAACGTTAAAATCGCCAATTACTGTGATGCTTGGGTTGTCCACGAAAGCCCTGTGCAGCTGCTCTTCAAATTTCTGCCAGTACAAGATGGGCTCGTCAGGTGGCCGGTAAAAGCACCCAACTAGTTGTCGCCTTCGTCGCCCTTTGACTTCGATCCAGGACGATTCAATGTTAGCGTCGGAAAGCTCTGGGCGCGGTTTTACCTGGAGTCCGGAACGGAAATAAAAGCATACACCGCCACCTCTGCGCACTGGACGATCGTGCCGTATCACACAGTAACCTGGTATATCAATATCACTGTCTGACGTTGTGCTGTCAAGCCAGGTTTCTGCGACGCCAAATATGTCGAAGTTGTATTGCTGTAGGATATCGGCAACCTCAGCTACTTTGTTTCGAAGACTACAAACATTCAAAAAGCCCAGTCTTATGAAGGACTGTGTCAGTGGGGTAATGCGGTGAGCAGGGGCAGAAAGGTTATTCTGGGTACAAGAGCCATGAGCACTGGGACCTGGGATGCCAGCCCCAGGGGAGAGATGTTGACTTTGTACACTAGTAGTTAACTTGGAGGGGGAAAAGCTGGGTGCTAAGGAGACGCCATTAACATTTAAAAAAGATACAGCTAAAGAAATTGTGTTCTGATGATCTATCATTACTAGGGAAAAAGGGATCAGCATGGGGATTAAGAGCAAGTGAAGTAAGTATTAACCGTAATTACCTTCATTGCACTAGTGGCTTCCTCTGCGGGCAGCTTCAACTCTCTCTGCCAGCTTCTTGCGCTCACGGTTTGAACACTCCTTAGCCCACGCAATTTGCGGGTCGTTCAAGGCAGAGGCAGGTGGCTCAGTGCGCTCTGATAGGACAGTGACGGGGAAGTTGTGTTTGCCTGCTGCCAGTCTGAAGCCATCGTCATCAGGAGAGGGTCTGTCCCGCTGCTCTTTTCTTTGTCTCCAGGTTGGCTGAAAGCCGGCACATGGTTACTGGTATCAGTTGTGCCAGTGCTGGTCCCATTGGCTAAAAGTGCCTGGCGATAGCTGTTGACTGAGGCAGTTTTCAGCCCTGTATTGCTAGCTGCACCTGTCTCCACACTGACGACAGCTGGCTCTACAGCGGCTTCTGCGGGCTGGGTAGTCACCGTACCCGTATCAGTAGCTGTACTGACGCTGGGAGGGTTTGTACTCGTACCAGTTGTGTTGCGGTGCTGTGCTTGTGGAAGCCGGGAAGCTGTAGACTGTGCCCCACGGTTGGGACATGCTTTAGCCTCGTGGCCACTGTTGTTGCAGCGCCAACATGTTTGCTGTTGGCCGCGGTGCCATACTCGCAGTTTCAACTGACCTACGGTAACCGTAGATGGAACTGGTGATCGGAGGACCAGGCTGAGAACACGGGTGGCAGTACTTATTTCCAATCCCTCAAACAATACTTTTTTCTTTTGAGGCGACCCAACAATTCGGCCGAACTGGCCCAGCGCGGCACACAATTTACTGTTTTGAAGCCCGACAGGGCACCCAAACACATGCAGATGGGTTAAGTCCACCCCGGAAATCTCGCAGAGCACCTGCTTACCGGAAATCCGGATTCCTGC